GGAAATGCAGCTACCAGCTAAGACAGTGCCCAGTCATCCTTTTATCAAAGGAAATTTATAAAAAATTCTACTTTTTTCACCCAGAAAATTTGTGGTTATATAAATTCACATTCAAATTGTTTTGAGTGAATGTATTCACTTTGGATTTTTTTTTGTAAATCCAGTTAAAATGGAAGGAAAATGATCTAGCCTGGAAATGCATTTTCCTGTATTTAGCTCTTTAAAGATGAAGGATACATTTTTGAAAGCACCTACATGGTAAAGGCTCCAAAGCCACAACAGGATTTAGACTCCTAAATCAAATTAACTTTTAAAAATAGGACTTAGATGTTTTTGAAAGTTTTACCCAAAATGTAATAACTACCTCCGTAATTTTAATATCAATATTATAGTACTTTCATTACTATTGCCCATTACTACTGTAAAATCTTAGCAACCACTCTAAGTATATACAACAACTATAGCTGTGGTGGAAAAGGCATCATTGGAATCTACACATTGTATAAATGATTTTGTAAAATCTTGGGGGATTCCAAGGCACAGGCTACATTTGTATAACAAGTCAATGGGAGCTGAGCACCCCCTAAAACTCTTATGGAATAACGCCACATTATTTTTCTAGTCTTGGGTAAACACTTGTTTGGGTAATTGCCTGTAGCTTTTTTATATAAGGTGCATAACTCTTCCCCTTAGACCAGTGGTCCCCAAGGTGTGTCTCCCTAGGGGGGCACAGAGGAACATTGGGGGGGGGGGCAGTAGGCCCCGGGACCAGCCCCCATGGGGATAGGGAGGGAGTGCCACCCAGCCCCATCAGCCCCCAGCTCCACTCCAGCTATCGGTTCCCAGGCCTGCTCCCGGGCGCAGCTCCACTCACAACCATGGCCCCAGCTGAACTTCCAGTCCTGGTTGAGGCTCCCAGACCCGACCTCAGGCCTGCTCCTGGCTGCAGCCCCTGGCTCCTGGACCCGGTCGCGGGTGAAGCCCCCAGCTCCAGCCACAGTCCCGCTCACAGCCGTGACTCTAGCTGCAGTGCCGGCCCCACTCCCGACTGTGGGTCTGCTCCAGGCCCCAACTGCAGCCCCACTCCCAGCCCTGGCTCCTAACCATTGCTTCTGGGAGGGGGGCATGACCAAAAAAGTTTGGGGACCACTGACTTAGATGAAGCCTTCAGATTGCTTCCTTTAACCATTAGCGACTTCAGAACCTGGGAGTTCTGCAGAGTATTTTAGCTCCTAATCCAAAGCTCACTGAAATCCATGGAAAGTCTTGGATTGACTTTAGACAGCCACTGACTCTGAATTATGCCCAAAGTTTCTTTGACTATTTGGGCAAGTCCCTTTGCCTTTCTGCACCTCAGTTTCCCTACCTATTACATGGGGATAATGGTAGTGACACCTCCTTGGTAAAGTGCATTGACATCTGCTGATGAAAAGCACTGTGTAATAGTGAGACACTTATTATTATTTATTTTATTTAAATAGCTTATGATGCAGTTTCAAAGCTGCTAGTATGGATCAACTTTTTTGTAAACAAATTGATAATAATGATAGTATTTTTAACACATAATTATATGTGACTTTTATTTAATTACTTCTAAGTATAGCTTTGCCTAGTAATTAAATGCTTTTATTGTGTACAGACAGGGACAAATGTGCCCCTTCCATGACCTCGTAGTTTAATACGCTGCACACTACATCATTGCTATTTTTTTAAGTTAATGATACCTTGATCTGGTTAGATAAATGGATTAGAACAATGCTGTCTTTAATTTTCATTTGCAGCTAATTAGTATCATCACTAATTACTATAATTCAGGGCATGTTTATTGCATTATAGTATTTTGTTCCTTTCTGTTTAAGATATGGAGGATAGATCTTTTCAACCCCAAACATAATGATTATACTCAGTATTAATCACTCTTAAGCTTGTTAGTAGGTAACTCTGTGCCCCTTCTGCATACCTAAGTCTGAATCACATTGTGTGCTCCTTGTAGGATGACCAGACAGCAAGTGTGAAAAATCAGGACGGGGGTGGAGGGTATTAGGAGCCAATAGAAGAAAAAGACCCAAAAATCAGGACTGTCCCTATAAAATAGGGGCATCTGGTCACCCTAGCTCCTTGGTAACACACACAGGAGACAAAGGGAGGATCTGAATCAATTCTGAGGTGGAGCATGTGGATTGTCCTCTGGATGCTGAGTGTGGGAGCTCCGGAGGATACTGGTCATGGCTTCACCCAACATACCTGTGGAGAAAGGGATACTTGGATAAGGAATGAAAAACCTACATTATGAGAGGAGACTCAGAGCTTGGATTGTTTAGCATAATCAAAAGAAGGCTGAGGGGAGATATGAGTGCTCTCTATAAATACATCAGAGGGATAAATACCAGGGAGGAAGAGGAGTTATTTAAGTTTAGCATCAATGTGGACACAAGAACAGATGGATATAAACTGGTCATCAACAAGTTTAGGCTTGAAATTAAATGCAGGTTTCTAACCTTTAGAGGAGTGAAGTTCTGGAACAGCCTTCCAAGGGGAGCACTGGGGGCAAAAAACCTAACTTGCTTCAATACTGAGCTTGATAAGTTTGTGGAGGGAGTGGTATGATGAGACCTCCTACAATGGTATATGGCTGATCTGCGACTGCTAGCAGCAAATATCTCCAATGGCTGGTGATGGGTCACTAGATGGGGAGGACTCTCAGTTACTACAGAGAGTTATTTCCCACGTATCTGGCTGGTGAGTCTTGCCCACATGCTTAGGGTTTAACTTATCACCATATTTGGGGTGGGGAAGAATTTTCCCCTGGGTCAGATTGGCAGAGACGCTGGGGTTTTTTTTGCCTTCATCATGGAGCATGGGGCACTTGCAGGTTTAAACTTATGTAAATGGTGGATTTTCTGTAATTTGAAGTCTTTAAATCATGATTTTAGGACTTCAGTAACTCAGCTAGAGGTTACGGGTCTATTACAGGAGTGGGCGGGTGAGGTTCTGTGGCCTACAATGGGCAGGAGGTCAAGACTAGATGATCCTGATGGTCCCGGCTTACCTTTGAGTCTATGAAAAAGGAAACTCCAACCATGTGGCTGGGCTGCTATGTCATGTTACTGTCTGGTAAATATCAGAGAGCTGGGAGCCAGGAGGATTTGAGTTCTGTTCTCATCTCTCCCAATGACTACCCTTAATAGCATTTGCACGTGCACAATGCTGTTTATATAGAACACACTAATTATGCTCCACAGCACCCCCTATTGTACTATATTCAGTAGTGCCTAAAGACCCTGGCAGAGATTGGGTCCCATTGTTGTAGGCATTGTACAAGCACATAGTGAGAGACAGTCACTGACCCAAAGAACTGACAATCTAAATAGATGGGAGGGGAATAAGAGGCAAGAGGGGTGAACTGAGGTATCCAGACCCACAAGGTAGGTTAGGGGTATAGCTCAGAATAGACTCCAGGTCTCCTGATGTGGTCTCCTAGCTATTGGAGCACACTACTTCCACAAAAACCAAGAGCTACATACAGCCGTAACTGTACAGAGACAGGGGATGCCGTTTTGCAGAGGATTTCAATTTTTCAAAATTTGGTTTTATTCTGATTTGGAATGAAACACAAAAAGTCCCAAATTCTCTGTGAATAAGAATGGAGTCATAGACTGACCTGCAGTTGCAGAACCTAGAAGTCCTGGGAGCTCAAGCTGCCAAGGAATTGGGAACCAGCCCTCCCAGAGCTTCCAGGCTCCAGCCTCCCTGTCATCCCAGCGGATGGATTGAAGGGGAGCCAGAAGTCTGGAAACCCCACTGAGTGAGGAGCCTGGAAGCTCTGGGAGCCTCACTCCGCAGAAGCCTGCCAGTCAAGCTGTGGAAGAACTGAGCAGCTTAGGAATTTAGAAGCCCCTGGGAATTGGGGCTCCCAAGGGTTCCCCAGTCTCTGCTCCCCTTTAGCTTGTGAGGCAAGCTACCAAAAGCTGCCGAGGAGCCAGGGATGCAAACAGGCAGGAAACCACACAGGTATTGAAATTTGCCCATGTTCCATTGCAATTTTGTCTACATTGAACAATCTCTGATAAATGTTTAGCTTTCAATGAATCAGCATTCTCATCTGGAAAACTTCCACCCATCTCTGTGCCTTGTTAACAGATGTGGAAACAAAAACTGTGAGGTGAGTGACATGTCAAACTGACAGCACAACTCATTGTGAATAGGGGTGCAAGAATCTGGCCCAATGGGACTTGTCCCAGTATAAGGTACCACTTGTTATGAGAAAGGGAGGCAGAATCAAGCTCTGATTTATCTTGGAGTGGGGACAGGGGAGTTTGGTCTAGTGGATGAATTATGGACCTGGAGATGGTCTCAGTCTCCCAGTGAAACAGCTTCAATTTTCTATACCAACTTGTGTGTTCAGGTGTTACACTCATCCACTGTCACACAAATGCACAGAGTGAGGGGAAAGGTGTTGACAAAGGCTAGTTTACACAACCTGCTTTGGAAATTTAGGGTGTGGGTGAAATAATGAATTAAAGTTTAAACGTGATATGGTGAACAATGTTTCTTTTCATATTTATTACACATGTAGGTACTGTCTTACTATCAGATCCAAATGAAACAAATGTTTGAGATAATTGAAGATGTTACATCTCAATCAGATTTGTGTTGCCCCGAGAAGCTGCCACTAGTATGGGTTGAATGGTGAAAGCTGCCTGGAGAATTAAAGCTGACTACTAAATGTTTGTGTTTGCAGAACTCTAGAATCTCCACATTTGCGGTAATTTTGTGCAATAGATTATGCTCCTTCAGGCAATAGTATGTATTTATATTTGTTGATATATTTAAATGTGCTCTAAAACTTGCATGGCTGGCTGGAAAGGGCTTGAAAAATCAGTGCTGACAGGCAGCGGGTGCTCAAATAAGTTGTGAAACAAGGTTGTAACTTGTAACTCAATTATCACTGGAAAACACTGATTTCAGCAAGTCCTAGATTAAATGGAGAATCTACTTGCTTTTTGAAGTTAGTCCATGGCCCCATGTGGGTGGCAGACACTTGCTGGTAGTTTGCGAAGAGCTTACTTGTCGTGAGCTGCCGGTTCACTTCTTTGTTTCCAGCTGAGAGAGAGAAAGAGGGAGAAGAAATGAAGAACCAAAGGGGACAGCATGATCAACTCTTATCACAAGGGATAAAACACTTATTGCACAAAAGGCAGCAAAAATAAGTTCAATACTTTTGTAATATTACTTTTCCATGTTAAAAATTGCTGTCATTGCTACGGGGTGTCAGGCATCTGTGAATGGGAAGGTAGGTGATCTGTGCATTCATAAATGCGAGGAAAGGTGATTGACAATCCATAGGCAAGATCCTGGCTTCTCTCCCATTCAAGTGGTGCAAAGGGGTCAGGACAGCTACCCCAGTGATGTGGGGAAGAATTCCCTCAGTGTAGGGGAATCCCTGGATGGAGTTATTAGCAACTAATGTTGTTGTTTTTTTAAAAAACCATTGAGTCTGCCATTTTGCTGCTAATAGCAACATGTGGAGCCGTGATACTCAGACTGAGGCTTGGGATCCGCAAGTGGCTCTTTAATGTGTCTCCTGTGGCTCTTTGCCACACATGATATTAAAACACTGTGTGATTTAAGTTATTAGGCAGTCAGGATGATTTTACTATGTTATTAACCAATTGTTGATTTTTTGGTCAGTCATTTTGGTGGGAGAATAATATATATATAGTAAATGAAACAATGAATGCACACTACTGTGGCTCTTTTGGGTAATGTTGATCGCTAATTTGGCTCCTGAACCACTGAAGTCTCAGTATCGCTGATATAGAGCTTTTAGCCTCTCAACCCCCATACATTGTATCTGATGGGACCTGACCAGGGCACCAAACCTCAAGAGGCTTCCCTCCTTCTTCCACAAAAGCCAGGATCAGCTCCCAGGGGGCAGATTAAGGAATCTCCGATCGTCATTACTCCTTCCCAAAAGCCACGAGCACCATCTACAGCCAACCAGCAACTTCCCCTTTTCCGCTCACTGGAGAGACCAGCAGTTGGGAGGATCTTGCATGATGTCCTCACTTCTGACTTACTCAGCTTTCAAACTTGGTCTCAGGATTTTTGCTCACTTATTCTATTGCTGTTGGTGGCTGATGCCCCCTCACTCTGCCCTGTTTCTACCCCTGCAGGTCTTCAGCCGCCCAAACTCATTCACCATCCGATAATATCTCTGTGGCAAAGGCAGGAATAGAATTCAATTCTCCAGGTGGCACAGCTGCTTTAATAACCCTTTCCCTCCTTACAGTCTCCTGCCTCAGTCATTACACACTTTCCAGCTTCTGCAACAAATGAGGAAGGGGTCCAACAAACAACAGTCCCCTTCACTGGCTGCTTCCCTGAGCATCATCCATTCTGTGTGCTGAATGAGGCAGAGATACTGTGAAAAAAAATAGTATGTGATCATATAGTTAAAGACTGTATCATAATACATTTGCTCAAGAGGGCTGAATGAAGGTTGTGCGGGTAGCTTTAAATCTGGTATTTCCTAACATTTTGAATGATTGATACTGCAATTTTAGCATTCTTTTAACATAGATTTTTAAATGTAATATGTAAATAGACATGGAATTAACAAGACATGCATCCGCCATCATCATGACCTTTTCTACCACCTTACTTTTTCTCTTGCACTCTCTCTTTTTTTAATTAAATCTTTTTAGATTGCAAACTCTTTGGGACAGGGAACATATCTTTGTTCTAGTTGCTACCTTAATATAAACACTAAATAATAATAGGTAGGATGTATTGTTAGATAACTTAGGCCTAGAAGATATTTATAACCACTGAAATCAATGTGAAAAGCACTGGACCTATAGTTTTAGGATAACTTTGAATAAATACATAAAAATATTCAGACAAGTACAGTTAGAAAAAAAAGACATTAATGGAGATATCCCATCTCCTAGAACTGGAAGGTCATTGAGTCCAGCCCCCTTCCTTCACTAGCGGGACCAAGTACTGATTTTGCCCCAGATCCCCAAGTGGCCCCCTCAGGAATTGAACTCACAACGCTGGGTGTAGCAGGCCAAGGCTCAAACCACTGAGCTATCCCTCCCTCCCAGTTGAATTGTAGCTTACCTTCCATTCTTTCTTTTATTAAGGGACAAAGTCTAGAACTCTCAGATGAAGAGAGAGAGCGTGTCCCCCGCCTTTCCTGACAAATGCAGTGTTTCAACTTTGCCAACTTTGTGCTTACTCAGACCAGGATTCACCCCTACATCATCTTTTGTTTTGACCCTGCTTTAAATAGCTTCAGCAGGCAAAGTTCAGCATCATCCCGTGTAACCTTTGTGTACAATCTGATTCTTGCACTGAGATGTGCAGCTTCAGTGCTGGATATCTTTGTAATTCAAACTTTGGTTTCCTTATTAAAATATATAGTTGTTACATTATCTTATAATTAAAATATTATCCAAATGACAAGGATATAAGGCCTGCTCTAACGCCCTTTGAAGTCATCAGGAATCTTTCCACAGTGAACTGTTGGATCAGACCGGTGCTTAGGATATCGTAAGATATTGATTATCAGATCATTTACAAAATCTCTGAGATTCCAGTATGACAGTGTATAATAAAAGGCGAACTTTTTCCAGAGGGTAACTATATTCACATCTCTCGAAGGAAAAGGTTCCCTAGTTCAGTGTATGAAGAATTATTTTTAATGTGTTGAGTAGAAGAGTGTTGTGGCTGTATAACACACTAGAATAGTAGCCAATGTTCTTTCCCTTTGAACAGATCAGTACTAAAAGTTAATTACCACCTCCATCCCAGAAGATGGAAAAAGATATGAAGCAATACATGCATCAAGCAATTCAATATGCAGAAGCTTGATTTAACTCAGAGATGGGGGAATGGTCAGGCATTGTCTGGTCTAGAATCCATGCAAACATGACAAGTATGAGAAATAAAGTACTTTACATATGGCTGGATTTATTTTTTGGATTGGAGACAGTTTTTACTAATGTCAAATTCTGTGTTGTCAGAAATTAAGCTGAAGAGAATGGGCCTGATTCACCATTATATTCCAGTGTACAGTGTTCCTCCAGTGTAGCTCTATTGGCTTCATGGAGTTAAACCAGCACACAGCCTGCGTTGTGCAGTCCCAATGGCTTTGGGGCAATTTGCAAGCTTGAGTGTTTACTCAGCCCATAGTGAGGTTCAGCACGTAGCTGTGCTGCACCAGGAGCGTCCCAGTGAGTGAATTATGGCGGAGTCTCTCTTTGCTTCAGGGTGAAAGTAATATGCTGCCATTCTATACCAGTAGCATTGAAGGTTTTCCTTTGCCCTGGCTCAGCTCCACTGGCTGGCACATCAGTGGATGTGAGTGGAGTTCTAACTTCACCCAACTGCATGGGAGGGAGAGTAGTGGCCTTGCAGGGCTGCACTTCCTCTTGTACTGTGCCCTATCCGGTGGGTAGCCCACATGGGTGAGTAAGTGGGGATCTTTATTTCCATGAATAGGCACATAGTACAAACAGCAACCTGTTCTTTATTAAATGGCACTTAAAGACAGAGTTAATTCTCTGTGCAATGAGGGACCCACTTACCTGAGAGGAATGCTCACTGTACAGGGCTCTCATTGTCTAAACATTTATGATGATAATTACACAATGACCTATGTTTCTTTAGATAATGAAGGCCTGATCTTGCTCTCACTGAAGTCAACATCCCCTCTTTCCCTCACCCCCCAAAGTAATTGCAATGGGAGCAGGCTTGGAAACTAAGAATAAGTGGTTTTCCCATTGCAAAGCCATTTGAGAAATACTGATGAGGATAAAGAAAGTTGGGGATAAAGGCCTCATCTGATTGACTGACTTAGCTTTTCCAGATTCTAATACTTAAGGCTAAGGCATACAGGGATATGACAGAATTTAGAATGTTACATGAAAGCATCTCAAACACACTTCACCGAGGAGCATATTAATATTACATGCACGGCTCCATTCAGATAATTTACACCTCTCACTGTAGTTCCGCATTAGAGATTTGCAAAGAATGTCAGAATTATGACAGCGTCTGTCTCCCATGTGACAATCAGTGTCTTTCTTTAAAAAAAAGGGGGGGGGGGGAGAGAGAAAAAAACCATGTTGTGACAAAACCTGAAGCAATAAAAGTCACCCATGACAAGTACTCCTCTATTCTGATAATAATAAAGGTCTGATACAACAAGAAAACAGCCATTTACAAAATCCTGCTTAGAACTTTGATCTCAACTGCTTTGAACTGAGATTGAACTGTATGGAAAGGAATCTTCTCCTAAATAAAAACAGTGTAACAGTGTATGCAGTCACCTCCTACAAGACAGGCCCAACAAAGAAAATAACAGAACACCACTAGCTGTCACCTTCAGCCCCCAACTAAAACCTCTCCAGCGCATCATCAGAGATCTACAACCTATCCTGAAAGATGATCCTTTACTCTCACAGATCTTGGGAGACAGACCTGTCCTCGCTTACAGACAACCCCCCAACCTAAAGCAAATACTCACCAGCAACCACACATCACTGAACAAAACCACTGACCTAGGAACCTATCCTTGTAACAAAGCCCGATGCCAACTCTACCATCAGGGGCTCGTTCACCTGCACATCTACCAATGTGATATATGCCATCATGTGCCAGCAACATGGCCAAACCGGACAGTCTCTATGCAAAAGAATTAATGGACACAAATCTGACATCAGGAATCAAAATACTCATAAACCAGTGGGAGAACACTTTAACCTGTCTGGTCATTCAGTGACAGACCTATATTACAACAGAAAAACTTCAAAAACAGACTCCAACGAGAGACTGCTGAG